TCATGTATTTATCTAACCTGTTTTTAAAACTACACAACGTTTTAGCCTCAATAACTGTACTCGGGAGTTTGTTCCACTCATCCACAACTCTTTTACCAAACCAGTGCTTTCCTATATCCTTCCTGAATCTGAATTTGTCCAACTTGAAACCATTGCTGCGAGTCCTGTCTTGGCTGGAAATTTTCAGCACGCTATTTACATCCCCTTTATTTATTCCTGTTTTCCATTCATACACCTCGATCATATCCCCCATTATTCTACGCCTTTCGAGAGAGTGCAGATTCAGGGCCTCATAGAGAAGATTTCTGATACATGGGATCATCTTCGTCATCCTCCTCTGTACGTTTTCCGGAGCATTTATATCCATTCTGTAATACAGTGACCAAAAACTGAGCAGCATAGTCTAAATGAGGCCTAACCAAGGATATATAGAGTTGAAGAACAACCTGAGGACTTCTATTATTTAACTTCTAGATATGAAGCCAAGAATTCTGTTAGCTTTATTGCGAACACTAATGCACTGTTGTCTTGGTTTTAGATTACTGCTAACCAGAACTCCTGAATCCTTTTCACAATCAGTAGTATTAAGATCTACATTATTTAGTTTATATGTGGCATGGTTATTTTCCAGTCCAACATTTAGAACTTTGCATTTGTCATAATAAACTGCACCTGCCACTTCTCCGACATTGCATCAGTCTATTCAAATCATCCTGGAGTGCTCTAGGATGGCCTATTTTGGTGTCATCAGCAAATTTGCTTATGTCGCTATTTATTCCCTCATCTATGTCATTTATGTAAATTGTGAACAACAATGGGCCCAAAACTGGCCCCTGAGGAACACCGCCTGTGGCGAGCCCCCATTCTGATTTCTCCCCATTTATGCAAATTCTCTTCTGCCTATTTGTCAGCCATGCCTCTACCCAGGAAAAAATTTCTCCTCTTATTCCGTGTGCCCTAAGTTTCCTCAATAGCCTCTGGTGTGAAACTCTCCCGAAAGCCTTACCGAAGTCCATATACACAATATCATATTCATTACCATGATCTACCTCCTCAAACACGTTATTGAAAAATGATAGTAAATTCGTAAGACAGGAACACCCATTTGTAAAACCGTGTTGAATTTCATTAATCAATCTGTGCCTATCAAGATGGCTACGAATTCCTTCGGCAATTATTGATTCTATAAATTTTCCCACAATGGAGGTAAGGCTTATTGGTCTAATGTTCGAAGCCAAGGACCTGTCACCTGCCCTGTAAATAGGTATTACATTTGCCATTTTTTACTTATCAGGCACTATGCCAGTTTGTAGTGATATGTTAAAAAGATTAGCCAAAGGTATGCTAAGTTCCTCTTTACATTCCTTTAACACCCTTGCAAACAGTTCATCAGGGCCTTGGGATTTGTTAGGTTTTAGTTTCTCTATTTGTCTGTGGACCATGTCACTAGTTATTGCAATCGTGCATAGTTTATGATCGTCCTGTTCTACATAATCTATTATTTCAGGAATATCGCTAGTATTTTCCTGGGTGAAAACTGAGAGGAAGTAGGTATGAGAATTTCACACATATCCTTATCACTGTCAGTGATCTGACAAGAATTACTCTTAAGTGGGCCAGTCTTGTCCCTTATCTTACTTCTGTATACTTGAAAAAACCCACTTTTGGGTTAGTCTTTGAATCCCTTGCGACCTTAGGCTCATAATCACTTTTTGCTTTTCTTATTCCATTCTTCATTTCTCTCTTTAAATTGAATATATTGATTTCTTAACTGCCCATCTCCTCTTTTGATACGCCTATATATGCTTCTCTTTTGACTAATGAGATGTTTCATTTTATTGTTCATCCATTTGGATCATTTTTGTTAGATCTAATTTCCCTACTCGGAACAAAAGTTGTCTGGCAGCTAGAACTATGCTCTGAAGAACATCATATTGGCAACCAAGATCACCTACCTGACCATAGTCAGGACATCCCAATTTAGCCCACCCAAGTAATTTTTCAGTCCCATGAAGTCGGCCAAGCGAAAAAGGGGGACTGAGATTTGATTGCAGTTATCGGGGTGATTCCATGATATATTGAAAACTAAGTGATTTATGATCACTTTCCACAAGCTCATCATTAATCTCAAGATTTTTAAATAATGACTCTTTGTTAGCAAGAACCAAGTCAAGTAGATTGTTTCCTCTAGTTGGTTCTGTCACAACCTGTTCTAGAAAGCAATCCTGAACCGTATCAAGAAAGTCACTAGACTCAAGGTTTCCTGTCATATTGCTCCATTCAATTTGTCCAAAGTTAAATTCTCCCATTATCACAACATTTTCATATCTAGTTGCCTTATGAATTTCGTCCCATAACAGCTTACTGCACTCCCCATCAAGGTTTGGGGGCCTATAAATCACACCCAGAATTAATTTGTCACGACACTCGAGAAATTGTAGCCAAACAGATTCTGTGTTCGATGTTTCTAATCTTATATCATTTCTAAGACAACAATTGAAATTTTCTCTTACATACATCGCCACTCCACCACCCTTCCTGTTGTTAGGTAAGACACATATGCAACAGTTAGGTATCTTTATTTCGAAACGTTTCGCCTACACAGTAGGCTTCTTCAGTCGAGTACAGAAAAGTTGATAGAAGCAGAAGATACTTGAAGACGATGTAATCAGTCCATCACCCTTAAAGTTTTGAGGTGGTCAGTCCCTCAGTCTGGAGAAGAGCATTGTTCCATAGTATGAAACAATATGGAGATGAAGTGACAGGATGGAGCCTTATATAGCGCCAGGAGGTGAGACGTAGGTCACTAGAAGAGGTAAGAACGCAGATGTTGGGAGGTCAGGTCCCTCTCAAATCCAGCCGTTCTCACTAGCAGAGGTTGTCGAAGTTGATTGCAGGTCTGTACCAAGATACTCTTGTGTTGCAGTGTCTGACAGATTGAACATTAAAATGGTATAAAATACCGACAGGTTGTTGCATATGTGTCTTACCTAACAACCTGTCGGTATTTATATACCATTTTTAAAGTTCAATCTGTCAGACACTGCAACACAAGGGTATCTTGGTACAGACCTGCAATCAACTTCGACAACCTCTACTTGTGAGAACGGCTGGATTGAGAGGGACCTGACCTCCCAACATCCGCGTTCTACTAGTGGCCTACGTCTCACCTCCTGGCGCTATATAAGGCTCCATCCTGTCACTTCATCTCCATATTGTTTCATACTATGGAACAATGCTCTTCTCCAGACTGAGGGACTGACCACCTCAAAACTTTAAGGGTGATGGACTGATTACATCGTCTTCAAGTATCTTCTGCTTCTATCAACTTTTCTGTACTCGACTGAAGAAGCCTACTGTGTAGGCGAAACGTTTCGAAATAAAGATACCTAACTGTTGCATATGTGCCTTACCTAACAACCTGTCGGTATTTTATACCATTTTAATGTTCACCACCCTTCCTGTTGACCCTGTCAGTGTGGAGTAGTTTATAACCCTGTATGTTGCATTCACAAGGCATTTCTCTATCCTTCAGGTTGATCCAGGTCTCTGTTATACCAATAATATCTATATTATCTACACTTGCAAGTAATCTTAGCTCACCTATCTTATTTCTTAGACTCCTACTATTTGTATAGTAAACCTTAAGTGAGCTAGTCACTAGTTGCCCTCTGCTATCTCTCTTTGTTTGTTGATCAATTGATTTGCCATTACTAGCAACTTTATTTTGATATTGTATTTTAAAACATATCCCTGAGGTATCCCGGTAATAACCCTAATACTGCAATCTGATTGTTTCCCAAAAACACTCATACCTCTATAATCTATCAGTTTAAATTTCTAGACAAGTCATTAATTACCCTCTCATTCGAATTGGCTAATTCAACCACTCCATCCCCAGAGAGATGAACCCCATCCTTTGCATACATATCACGTTTGCCAGAGAATAGGTCCCAGTTATCAATGAATGGGATTGCAAGTTCCTTGCAGTACCTGTCTAGCCAGCAATTTATACCAATTGCCCTAGACATCCATGCCCATGCATTGCCCACTCCCTTTCTAGGTAAGATGCTACATATGACTGGCATACCTCCCTTAGGCCTAACTACTTCTATGGCTGACCTGTAGTTATCCAGCAGCTCCTGTCTCCTGCCCTTCCCAATGTCATTACCACCAGCACTAAGGCAGATAATGGGCTTGTTCCCATTACCTGACATAATATTATCCAACCTGCTGACTATGTCACCAACACCAGCTCCTGGAAGGCACACTATTAAAATATTCTTACCTTGATTAGCAGGGGAATCAGTGGTACCTTTAACCTCACTAACCGCTGAAGTGAACTCGTCTTGGAGAACAGAGAATTGATTTACTACCTTCACATCTTCTGTGTTAACCCTCTTAATTTTCCTTCATCCTTAACTGTGAACTACTTGCCACTTAAAGCGGCTGCCACTATCACTGCTAGTGACCATTTCCTCCTTACTAGCTAAATCCTTTTGACACTCACTCACAAACTCATCTAGGTGAAGCTTCAGCCTCCCATTTTCCTCCTGAAGAAGTAGAACCTCCTTCTTCAACACTTGAACCTGAGATTCTAAAACACTACAACAAGCCATGGTGCTTGGTAACACCCCACGCTAACTCCCAGAGCTTAGGACAGGTATGACTGCAGGTGACCACTGACCTCAGCGTACTGGCCACTGACCTCAGTGGTTGCTGGCTGGTTGCTGTCTACCAATCTAGTACCACAAGACAGTAGTATCTCCCTGGTGGTTGCTGTCTACCTACTATCGCAAGTTTTACATATTCGGCACGACATATATATATATATATATATATATATATATATATATATATTTTATATATATATTATATAATATATATATTAAAATATATATTAAAAATATATACATGGATTTGTTAAATCAAAAATAATATTAAAGACATTTTATCATTCCTTTCATTGTGCTTGTTAATAAAAGTTTAGTTTTGTTTAGGTTTTTGCCAGAGAGTGTTAGATGGTTAGTGGCTGAGGGTCGTAATGATGAAGCCAACAACATTATACACAGAGTTGCTAGAGTCAATAATGTTGACCTACCAAGGGCATCTGACGGACCTTCACGACGTCCAGGTAACTTGCCTATGACGTATTTTTTTTCTCTCAGAAAAATAAATAACCTGCACTTATGAGACAGACTATGGCCTAAGTAGGACAGAATATGTCATTAATATCAGTTTCCATATGTGCAGATTACTTGTATATTCCTGTTATAATATTGTGCCTCTAGATTCACTATTTATATTGTTTACTTAAACTGATTATGAATCACATCTTGACTTAGAGAATCAGTTTAAATTATGAATCACATCTTGACTTAGAGAATCAGTTTAAATTATGAATCACATCTTGACTTAGAGAATCAGTTTAAATTATGAATCACATCTTGACTTAGAGAATCAGTTTAAATTATGAATCACATCTTGACTTAGAGAATCAGTTTAAATTATGAATCACATCTTGACTTAGAGAATCAGTTTAAATTATGAATCACATCTTGACTTAGAGAATCAGTTTAAATTAATCACTCATTTGTTATTCTTACTGACAGTTTGGTTCTGTTGATGGAACTTTATCAGTAACCAACAGTAACACTGTTGATGGAACTATGTCAGTAACCAACAGTAACACTGTTGATGGAACTTTGTCAGTAACCAACAGTAACGTTGAACTTGTGAATGAAACTAGACAAGAAGCAATGATCAAGAAGACTGTTATTGACCTCTTGAGAACTCCTGTTATGAGGAGAAGATCATTCACCTTGTTTTTCTGTTGGTAAGTTATTGATGATAAGTTATTGGTAAGTTACTGATGATAAGTTATTGGTAAGTTACTGATGATAAGTTATTGGTAAGTTACTGATGATAAGTTATTGGTAAGTTACTGATGATAAGTTATTGGTAAGTTACTGATGATAAGTTATTGGTAAGTTACTGATGATAAGTTATTGGTAGTTACTGATGATAAGTTATTGGTAAGTTACTGATGATAAGTTATTGGTAAGTTACTGATGATAAGTTATTGGTAAGTTACTGATGATAAGTTATTGGTAAGTTACTGATGATAAGTTATTGGTAAGTTACTGATGATAAGTTATTGGTAAGTTACTGATGATAAGTTATTGGTAAGTTACTGATGATAAGTTATTGGTAAGTTACTGATGATAAGTTATTGGTAAGTTACTGATGATAAGTTATTGGTAAGTTACTGATGATAAGTTATTGGTAAGTTACTGATGATAGTTATTGGTAAGTTACTGATGAAAGTTATTGGTAAGTTACTGATGATAAGTTATTGGTAAGTTACTGATGATAAGTTATTGGTAAGTTACTGATGATAAGTTATTGGTAAGTTATGATGATAAGTTATTGGTAAGTTACTGATGATAAGTTATTGGTAAGTTACTGATGATAAGTTATTGGTAAGTTACTGATGATAAGTTATTGGTAAGTTACTGATGATAAGTTATTGGTAAGTTACTGATGGGTAAGTTATTGGTAAGTTACTGATGATAATAAGTTATATTTTTGGTAAGTTACTGATGAATAAGTTATTGGTAAGTTACTGATGATAAGTTATTGGTAAGTTACTGATGATAAGTTATTGGTAAGTTACTGATGATAAGTTATTGGTAAGTTATTGATGATACTAAGTTTTCTCTAATATTTTATATTAGTTTATGGTTTCCTAGTAAATAAATAAAATAAACACAAATATATAAAATAAATAATAAATCATTGTTATTTTAATAAGAAAATATTAATTGTTGATGTGGTATTTATATGACAAACTTAAACAATATAAAAAATAGTAAAATATGGGATAAAGTCAATAATATTATTAAAACATTTACTGTACCACAACATTTATAATGTTATTTCAAGTATCCACATTTATAATGTTGTTTATTACATGCAAAGTTTAGTACATAGTTTTTGATTTATTACTGTAATAAAAGTTTATGAACATAGATAATGATATTATGTACACTACACTTTCTACGCACCCAGCAGAGCTAGGTGTTTTACCGTCATCGAAGACATATGGTGGCGTGGTGACTTATGAGCTAATTTCATTCTACACCCTGTTTGGTGAACTAGCTTCACGAGCAACGTGTGCATATTATTGTAACCATGAACGAGTGGTATTAATCAGTAACAACACTCGACTAGCCGAGGAATCGAACCGCAGAACAGGCGATATATTCACGAACACTAATCTCTGGTCGAAGGAGACTCGAACCTACGAACCACACAGCCACACTGGACAAAATACTTTGGCGCCCAGCCAAACATTTTGATCCAAGGCAGCCAGCATTCAGGCAGGTGGTGTTTACCTATTTCATCTCAACCCTTCATGCATCGACCGACGAGAGATTTTTACAATGTTTAGAATTCGCAAAATTTGCAGGGATGAGATGAAATAGCTAAACCACCCACCTGCCTGAGTCCTGGTTGCCTTGGATCAACACGTCTAGTGATGGCTGGGTGCCAAGGTATTTTGTCCATGTGCTTGTATGGTTAAAGCACTGTGTACCTTGTCCACATATATATATATATATATATATATATTATATATAATATATATATATATATAATATATATATATATATATATATATATATATTATTTAATATATATATAGATATATATTATAAATATATTATATATATATTTTCAACAAGTTGGTTGTCTCCCACCGAGCAGGGTGACCCAAAAAAAGAAAGAAAATCCCCAAAAAGAAAATACTTTCATATCATTCAACACTTTCACCACACTCACACATTATCACTGTTTTGCAGAGGTGCTCAGAATACAACAGTTTAGAAGCATATACGTATAGAGAAACACAACATTATCCCTCCAAACTGCCAATATCCCAACCCCTCCTGTAAAGTGAAGGCATTGTACTTCCCATTTCCAGGACTCAAGTCGCTTAAGGAAAATAACCGGTTTCTGATTCCCTTCACTAAAATATACTTGTCAACACTCCAACAGTCGTCAGGTCCCAAGTATCAATTCGTTTCCATTCACTACCTATCTAAACACGTCATGCACGCTTGTTTGAAAGTCCAAGCCCCTCGCCAGAAAACCTCCTTTACTCCCCTTTTCCAACCTTTCGAGGGACGACCATACCCCTCCTTTCTTCCCTATAGATTTATATGCTTCATGTCATTTCTTTGATCATTCTTTCTAAATGACCAAACACTCAACAACCCCTCTTCTGCCATCTGCTAATGTTTTATTAACTCCACACCTTCTCCTAATGTCACACTCGAATTTTATGAATAATATTACACCACACATTGCCCGTAGCAGGACTTCTCACTGCCTCCAACGTTCCTCGCTGCTGCATTTACCACCAAGCTTTCCATCCATATAAGAGTGTTGGTGTACTATACTTCATACATTCACTTCTTTGCCTCCTAGAAAACGTTTTTGATCCAATATACTAAACGCACCACTCACCCTTTTTTTCCTCATCCAATTCTATGATTAAACTCATCCTTCATAAAATCCATGCCGACACGTCAACTCCCAAGTATCTGAATATTCTCTTCTTCATATCCTCCTCCCAAATTGATACAATTTTTTCTTTATCTATATCATTTGATACCCTCAGCACTGTACTTTTTCGAGTTCACTTTCAACTTTCTACCTTTACCCACATTCTCAAACTTCTTCCACTAACCTTTGCAATTTTTCTTTAGAATCTCATAGCACAGTATCATCAGCAAAAGTAACTGTGTCCACTTCCATTTTGAATTTGATTCCCATAACTTTAATCCACCCTCTCCCGAACACCTAGCATTTTACTTCTTTTACAACACCATTATAAATATAGTAAAACACCATGGTGACATACAATCCTGTCTAAGAACTACTTTTAACGGGAAGTATTCGCCCTCTCTTTACCACACCATAAATGAGCCTCAGTTCTCAAAAAACTATTTACAGCATTTAGTAAACTTACCACCTATTCCATAAACTTGCTACATTTGCACATTGTCCTCATCATCTATTCATATGCCTTTTCTAAATCCATAAATGCATATAAAAACTTCCCTCCCTTTAATCTAATTTACTGTTCACATATATGCTTCAATGTAAACACTTGATCACACATCCCCTCCCCTCTCTGAAGCCCCCCTTCATCCGCAATTTCACTTTTCGTCTTACCCTAATTCTTTCAATTATAACTCTCCCGTTATTTTTCCTGGTAAAACTCAGTAAATTATTCCTCTAAAATTTTTACAACTCTTTTGTCCCCTTTTCCCCTTAAAAAAGGGGGATAAACACCTCCCCCGCCAATCCAAGGTACCTTCCCCCTTTTATACTTTATTAAACAAAATAAAAAACCACTCCACACTATACCCCCCCCTGCTTTTAAAACATTTTGTCTGATCCATCAGTTCCGGGGCTTTCCCCCTTTTTCATTTACTAATGCCTCAGTCCCTCCACCACACTTACATTTGCCTTCTTCACCCCTAAAATGGTTCCTCCCTGGCCATCAGAAATTACCCCCCCCCTTTCTTCCTCAACTTTAAAAATTTTCTCAAATATTTCGCCATCTACCTAATCCCTCCCTCTCCCCTCTATAACCCCCTACTTGTTTTTAATGACAAACCAAACTTTCCTGGCTTTTTAAAAATTTTTTAAAACCCACCCCAAAATTTTTTTTTTATTTTCTTAAAAAATTTCTTGACAGTGCTTCCCACTCTTTTCATAATATTATTATTTTTTTTAAAATTAAAATAAATATTTTTATATATATATTATATATTATATTTATATATATATATTATATATATATATTATTTTTTTTTTATTAAAAAAAGGGATTCCCCCCGGGCAGGGGGGCCCGAAAAAGAAAAAAACTTTCCCCATCTTTTTTCCTCCATCACTTCTTGCAGAAGTTTGTTTTTAAAAATACAGTTTTAAAACTGCACCATTAACACCCCCCTTCAGAGTGCAGGCCTTACTTCCCACTCCGGAAAACAACCGCCGGGTTTTTCCCTGATCCCTAAAAGTCTTTTCCCACCCCAACCCGGAATTTAAAAACATTTTCCCCCTTTCCCCCAAAAACACGCTAAAAACATTGTGGGCAAGCCCCCAAAAAACCCCTCTTTACCCCTTCCCCCCCCCTTTCCTAGGGAAAACCCCTACCCCCCTTTTCCAACAATGTCCTCTTGAAGTATTCGGGTTTCGCTCCACTCTTTTAATGTCCCCCACCTAAACCCTTTAGCCCTCTGGGAAAAGTTTTTTAACCGCACCTCTCCAAACCAAACACGAACTTGTTTTATTCCAAAAACCACCTTGCCTCGCATGACCCATCCCTCCCAGTTCTCTGTGCCATTCATCACACCCCCCCAAAAACCTTAAGGAGCTTGGTAAAATTTACTTAACTTTCCCCCTCTTTTGGTAAGGAAAAATTTCTTTTTCCAAGATCCAAGTCACCCTCATTTTTTCCCCTCTCAATTTCAAAATGATTCCCTCTCTTTATCCCCACCGGACAGATCCCAAAAATCTGATACTTCACCCCCAATCCTCCTATCTTTTTTAAATTTTCATCCCTTCTTTTTGTTTCCCAAAAAATTCTCTTTCCTTTTTCCCTTTTAATTTTTTTTTGCAACCAAAATTCACCCAACTCGCACTTTTTAAAGAATCTCCAAGGCAAGTTTTATCACAAAGGGGGCAGCTTGACAACTCCCACTTTGTGGGGATTTTTATTTTTAAACTCACGCTTTGGGAGCCCTGATTACTTTT